TCCCAAATAATGCTATTAAAATTAAACATTATTTAAAGTAGATAATATTTTAAGTTTATGAGAAAACTTACCTTTTTCCTTCATGGCAGCTGTGATCTCTTAGGCAGTGTGCTTCAAATACTAGGTCATTCTGTCTTTATTGGGAACAGACAGTGAGGTTAGTACAGCACAGAACATGTAGAACATTAACAGAATATTGCCCTGGGCAGAAAGAAATGAGAAAGTTTACCTAAGTTTAGAGAGGCTGAATTATCAAAGTAAATGAAGTACATTTAGAAATGAAAACATTATCTTTCTACACAAAACTGAAAACGATGGAAGTTAATAATAATTGTTGTTATGAGAATTTTGCTCAGAAATTGTATGGAAGTCTTACTACACCCATAATTTTAGGAGGAGGTCTAACTTGGAAATAGGGTTATTGTGGATGTTATTAGCAAAACTGGAGTGAGTTGGAGCCACTGTCTCTATAGAAGGGATTTAGGTCAAAGCCACAGGTGTGGGTGTCAGAAAGCATGCATGTGGCCTTGTGCAAGCCAAAGAGAGGCCTGGGATGAGGACATCTCTCAACATTTGTATTTCAGGCTTCAAGCCCCTGGAACTATGAGAGGTTACATTTCTGTTTGCTATTTTGTATTTCTTTGTTATAGCAGTCCAAGGAATAGAATGAGGATCATGATGTTTTTATATTCATTTCCAGGGTAACTGTGAGGTCATATCACACTCAAGCTATTTGGGGAAGTCCTTTCATTGTGTGCAGGTCCAACTTGTGTTGTCTTTGGTACCAGAGAACAAGAAACAACAAAATCCTATTAGATGATGTATTGAGAATGTCTGAAGATTGAACAGTTATAAAACTACTAAAGACAGAAGTTGGAGAATTACAGAAAACTTTCCTTAATTTTGATGTCAGTTATTTGGAACTTTGGATTCTTTAGTGACTTTTACTCTCTCCAAATTAGTTTTATTATCAGAGAAGAAGTGAAGGAAGAAGAGACTATTTTGAGGCAGGCATGGAGACTCACACCTGGAATTCTAACTACCTGGGTGGCAGAAAATGGGAGGATCAAGATTCTACATCAGCCTAGGCAAAAACTTAGTGAGACTGCATTTTAATTACTAAGCTAAGGAGGAGTAGTGAATGTGATCAAAGTACATAATATGGCTATATGGAAATATACCAATGAATCCCTTTAACAATACATGCTAATTAAAAAAAAAACCCAAAACTAAAAGCAAGGCAAAAGAGGAGCAGCATTTTTAGAAACCCCAGAATGTATGAGCCATTTAGATGTGCTACAGCTATGGTTTTCCCAGCACAATTCTAGAGCAGCAGCAGCAGCATCACCCAAAGCCAGATAGAAATGGAAGCCCTTGGCCTGCCACAGCCCCTGAGTTAGACTCTTCACAGTGTGGCATGGCAGCTTGTGTTGCATTCTCTCCAAGAGAGAATGCAAAGGTGACGGGGATACCTTCAGAGGACTGGCAATGAATACTGATACTTAAGTCAAAGGCACACACAGAGATTAGGAGAATGGTCTGCACATTTCTAAACTATAAAGAATACAACTAGAATGTGAGAGAATAAGGGAAAGACAAGGGATAAAATAGTAAAATCATTATTTTTAATAATAAGCAGAAGCCACATGATAATACTTAAAAGTGTAAACAAAGTGGTACAAAATTAAATTAAAAAGGTAGGCTTAAAGACCTACTAAAAGATAAAATGGCAGCCAGGCATGGTGATGCACACTTATAATCTTAGGACTTGGGAACCTTTTTAGAAATTACTATTGTTCTGTTATCTTCAAGTAGTTGTACAAAGGGGTTTCAATTCAACATGTCAGTTTGTGAGTTACAATGTATCTTGATCTTGACATCCCTTCCATAATTCTCCTCCATCTTTCCAAATCCCACTGTTGATCCCCTCAATTTTCCCTGTTGCATTTCACATACATACATTGATGTTATGGCTGTGTTCTTCCACACTTCCTATGACCTCACCCCCCTAACACTTCCAGTACCATCCTCCTGGTATTCATTCATTTTATTAGACTGGTTGTTTGAGTTACACCTCTGGAATTTTCCCCTGCATTTACCATACTATAGTTAATTGTGGACATGTAAATGTTTACACACACACACACACACACATATATATATATATATTTATAAATTAGGTCTAGCTCACACATAGGAGAGATAATATGACTTGGAAATCTGGAGTTCAAAGCCACTCTGGGCTACATAGCAAGTTCTAGACTATCCTAGGCAAACTGGTAAGACCCTGTCTGAAAACAAAACAAGCAAGCAAAAAAACCTCAGAACTAATGAGCAAAGGTAATCAGAACAAATACATGCAATGGCCCTGGGCCTGAGAAAAATGAAAACAGAAACACTGCTGAAAAGACTATTAGTACAGAAATAGAAATGTACTATGGAATATGCATTTAATCAATATTGCATTAATATTAAGTTGAATCTGACAATGTAATATGAATTGTCAAGTTTTTTTAATTATGAAAATACCATACAGAGGGGTTACAATTACATGGGCAAGGTAATAAAGTTTTTTAGGAGATGCATGCTCCTAATAAAGTGAAGTGTGGGGTTATAGCATGCTCTTTAGTGGCTGAAAAAGTAGTATTTGAGAGAAGAAAATAGGGCAAAATCTTAGCAATTTAGTATAAAGAATATGCAAGATTTTTGTACTATTGAAAATTTAAAAGAAGTTTGAAAGTACTCCATTTAAATAAAGAGATTAAAAACTTTGCTTAGGAAGTGGTGCTGTGAGCTGAAGAGCTCAGGAACAGTGCCCAGGCCCAGAGTTCAAGCCCCACAACCCCACAAAACAAAACTAAACTAAAAAACTTTCATCAGTCATTTCTAGCTAAATCATTTATTTTCCTACTATATAGGATTATTACCTTTTGTGAGAGGTGGAGATGGGAAGAATTACTGTTTGAAGCCAGCCTCCTGGGCAAAGCATTTATGTGACTCCATCTCAGCCAACTGGGTACAGTTGTGCACACTTGTCATTGGTTGCCTAGGAGGTTGAGATCAGGAGGATCACAGATCCAGACCAGTCTAGACAAAAAAGTTCTCAAGGCCCCATCTCAGCAAAAATAAATTGGATGTGGTGACACATGCCTGTCATTCCAGCTGGGGTGAGAAGTGCTGCCATGAGCAAAAAGTCAAGATAACCAAGTAAAATGGCTTTCAAGTGGTAGACCATCTGCCTAGCAAGTGTAAAGCCCTGAGTTTAGACTCTTGTACTACCACTGCCCCCAAAAATTAAAAGGCCAAATTTTATACTGAAATTTAAGTATTGAAGTGACGTGTATTTCAAAATATTATTACTAATGTATGTATGCAATGTAATTTGAAGCTAACACAGATGAAAATATGTCTGAATGTTTCTTCTTTCTCATCCTGTATTTTGTGATTACTCACTCTTCTCTCTAACTCATGCTCTTTGTGGTGAGCCTCTGGAGAGCAGGTTCCCAGGTCCAGCTACCTCACCACACCAGAGTACACATCTCCTAAACACAGACTCCACAAGCACCAATCAGGAAGAACTCTGAATTCAGTGCTTTTGAAGTACTTTTCACTCTGCAGTACATAGCTCAAACAGAATAGCCAGGAAATAAGAATAATTCTTCCTGTATGAAATATGCCAGAACTTAGGGAGTTAAAATGAACTAACTCAGGATGGAAATAGTAGGTATAAATATAATATATAGTAAGTATAAACATAATATGTATTTCTTAAATGCTAAAAAAATAATTCAAGCCATGCACTGGTGGCTCATGCCTGCAGTTGTAGTTACTGAGGAGCCTGAGGTCTAAGCATGGTTTGAAGCCAGTATGGGCAGAAAAGTACTTAAGGCTTTTTTCCCTTGTAAATTTACTTTATTGATTGAGAACATAGTGGTACTCAATAAATTGGTGTTGACTGTTGTATAAAATGGTGTTATTTTCCTATGCATTTTATTTACTTATTTTTATATCTTTATTGTAAAGGTGATGAGCAGGGGGATTACAGTTAACATAAGTAAGGTAATGAGTACATTTCTTTTTAAACTCTGTTATCCCCTCCATCATTTTCTCCATCTTGCCCCTCCCTGTTTCCCTCCTATCCCTCCCCAAGTTGTGTAGTTCATTTCCAAGGTAGTGTCAAGTGAGTGTCATTGTCACATTAGTTCATCCTTTGTCCTACTGTTTCTGTTATTCCCTTTCTCTTCCATTAATCAGATTAATTTATATACAAGACAAAGGGTACAGAAAACTAAAACAGGAAAAAACAAACTGCATGCAGCACATAGTAAGAACCTTTTGTTTCCAGTTCTTGGAGTTCATGTTATTATGCTTCATTATATATGGTCCTATGCACTTATCAGTTGAGCTATTGAAATCACCTGCTAAGAATATCATAGACATATTCTAGTTCTTACAAATGAAGGAAACCATGCAACCTACTTTTCTCTGGGTCTGACTTATTTTGCTTAATATGATTTTTTTCAGGGCTTTCCATTTCCTTATGAATAGGACAATGCCATTCTTTCTGATGGAAGCATAAAAGCCAGAAGTGGAGCTATGGCCCAAGTGGTAGAGTGCTGGCCTTGAGCAAAAAAGCTCAGGGACAGTGCCTAGGCCCTGAATTCAAGTCCACAAAAAATAATTTTTATACCCACTTTATGACAATTTTTTTCTGTTTTGGTTGGTTGTGGGTCTTGAACTTTGGGCCTGGGTGCTGTCCCTCAGCTCTTCAGCTCAAGGCAAGTGCTCTACCATTTGAGCCATAGCTCCACTTCTGTTTTTTTGGTGGTTTATTGGAGATAAGAGTTTCACGGACTTTGCTGCACAAACTGGCTTTGAACTGCTATCCTCAGATCTCAGCCTCCTGAGTAGCTAGGATTACAGGCATGAACCGCCAGCACCTGCCCTTTATGACAATTATTAAAACAATAGTGAAGTGAGCTTTTTTCTCTCTTAAAGATATGGATGTGATGAGGCCCTTAATAAATGATCAGAGCTTTGATGGCACCTCAGATGAAGAGCATGAACAGGAGCTGCTGCCTGTCCAGAAGCACTACCAGCTCCATAACCATGGTGGTATTTCGTAAGTCCTGTGCCTTATCTGACTCTTCTTTTTCTTCAGTTTGTTTGTGATGATTAAGAGGTGTTAGTCTTCGCCTTTCAAGTTTACACTATGCTTGAGAAGTGATACATTGAAATTACAGAGTGAAGTAACTCTAGTAGTCACTCTAGTGAAGTAACAGCAGATGCCCTGCCTCCTGGAAGAAGGCAGCTCTGACTGAGAAGTGGCTTTTGATATGCTTAGGAATTACACAAGGCAGCGTTAAATGCTTTTTGCAGAGTGAGAAGGAAAATACCTGAATCTTGTGAAGAAGAATAAATGCAGAAAATACTTGAAAATCTCTGTTGGATATTTTATCATCACTAAATTTAATCTAAAAATAATTTACTGGTTAGGCAAAGGATGATAGAATCTGATCAGAAGAATATGAACTTCAAAACTCTTCTAGGCAAAAGTTTTTGTTTGGGGCTGGGAAGGTGGCTCAGTGGTAGAGCGCTTGCCTTGCATGCTCGAGGCCCTGGGTTCGATTCCTCAGCACCACATAAGCAAAAAGAAAAAAGCCGGAAGTGGCGCTGTGGCTCAAGTGGTAGAGCGCTAGCCTTGAGCTGAAGAGCTGAGGGACAGCGCCCAGGCCCAGAGTTCAGGCCCACGACCGGACCCAAAAAAAAAAAAAAGTTTTTGTTTGATGGGTTTGAATTGTGTGTTCTTAGTTTTATTTATTTATTTTTACCTGGCACTCTACCACTTGACCCACACCCCACTTCTGACTCTTTGCTCTTTTTTTTGGTATATATTTTTTATTGTAAAGATACTGTACAGAGGGTACACTTACATGAATAAGGTAATGAGTATATTTCATACTGAGCATTGTTACCTCCTTAATTTTTCCCTCTTTGGTCTTTTAATTGGAGATAAGTATCTCTTGGATTTGTCTGCCTAGGCTGGCTCTGAACCTCACTTCTCAGATCTCAGCCTCTTATGTAGCTATGATTACAGGTGTGAGTCACCAGTACCCAGATTCTTCTTAGTTGTGGTTTATTTCTACTTGATCAGGAGATTGTCTTCAGTTACCTTCAAAGCCAAATCCCAGAGAGAATTCATGAGGTTCAAAAATTAATTGCTATCTTACCTGATTTTATATGTACACACCCTTGAGAGACATATATATATGTATATATATATATATATGTAGAAAGAGAAAGGAGAGAAGAAATACATACATATGTAAAACTTGCATATTGTTCCTTTTAATAACCTTCCTCTTAGTTTGATAATTACAGGACTACTGTTTAGTACCCTGGTAATATAAACAGTGCCAGTGCATTGTTGTTTTGCCAGCATAATCTTCAACATTGTTCTGAAAATCATAGCAGCAAAGTATCATGGAAGAAAATCATCATTTCTTTATTGTTTTATTACATATGAAACAACTCTCACTAAATATCTCAATTTTCCCAGTGTTTTTCTGTATTTCTCTTATAAATATCGAAGCTAGGACTTGAACCAAGTGTGACTTCTGGCTTACTGATGGAGCAGAAATGTTACATAGCTTCATTTTAGCTTCTTTTCTAATAGGAAAAATTATATCATGGCATTTTACTGGTTTTTCTTATAAAATGTTTAAATATTACAATTTTTTATTTTTCAGATTTATCCAAACTCTTATGCATCTTCTTAAAGGAAATATTGGCACCGGCCTTTTAGGACTCCCACTGGCAATAAAAAATGCAGGTGTAGTGGTAAGATTTATCTTTGTAATCTCTACACAACATAGTGTTAACTGTCAGCCAGATTACCACAGTGAATGTAGAGTCTCATTGAAAGATAACTTGATCAGGTGACATTTACTTGAGGGCTTGGCAATTGAACTGAGAAAAATAAATGACTATGATAGTTATACCTGAAAACAAGAATTATGATTTTCATTTCTACTAAATAAAAACAAAACTTAAAATAACATGGAATGTTTCCAGGGTTAGTTATGGTTTATTATCCCTTTTGACTTTCAGGGATTTGAGTTGTATACTTAAAGCAGCAAATGTACTTTGAAGATTATTTGTGTATAATTCTTTAGTTTTTTAGACTTTGAATAAACCATGAAGATTTCAGACATAGGAAAGAGGTAGTAGAGTAGATTGTGAAAAAAATACAGTATCTGGGCGCCAGTGGCCATGCCTGTAATCCTAGCAACTAAGGAGGCTGAGATGTGAGGATTGCAGTTCAAAGCCAGCCTGGGCAGGAAAGTCCCATCTCAGATAAACCACTCAGAAGTAGTTTATTGCCTTGAGCTGAAGAGCTGAGGGTCAGAGTTCAGGCCCAGAGTTCAAGCCCCATGTGCAACCCTCCCCCCCCTACAAAAACCAAAAACAAAAATATCATATTAGTGTTTTTGTTACGTTGAAAGCACTCATTTATTCATAGGAAATAAAAATCTAATTTCTAAATTTTAATGTAGTTTTAAAAAAAAGTTGGGCACCAGTGGCTCACACCTATAATCTTAGTTCCTCAGGAAGCTGAGATCTGAGGATCCCTGGTTTGACCCCAGGCATTTTGAAACCTGACTGGGCAGAAAATCCAAGAGACTCTTATTAAGCAGTACAAAGCTACAAGTGGAGGTATACCTCCAGTGATGGAGTGAGTGCCAAGCTTGAGCAGAAGAAGATAAGCAATAGTGTGAGGCCCTGAGTTCAAACTCTAGTTCTTGCAACCCACCAAAAAAGTTAAGAAACTTTTTTGTAGAAAACTTTTAATATAAAATTCATATATGAAATTATATTTAATCCCTTCTAAATGTTCTAGTTTCTAAAAAATAGTTGTTAGCTGAGTTTGTCCACCCTAATTTTAAGGTAATTGAAACTTTTCTGACTGTAAAAGTAAGATTTGGCAATAGTTTGGTTGTACCTCATAGGAATCTAGCTTTCATTCTGTTTTGGGATGTTGGAGATTGAGCCCTGAGCCTTGCACTTGCTAGACAAGTTTTTGAAATAATTATTTTCTGAGTAGAGTTCCTGGCAGTCTATTGAAGTTTGTTGAAGAAGTCTGTCAAAGAAGCATGTCATTCCAGCTGCAGTTCAATATTGTGCTTTTTAAATCATTTAGAATATGAGTCATCGTTGCATAATAATTATAGCAGTGCCACACTGATAGTTGTAGGCTGGCCATCTGCTATTAAATGTGACGTTATATTCCATCCTGCTATATTACATATCTAGAGTCTAAAGTCATTCATAGATCAAATCATACATGGTGGTCTTAAACTTTGTTTGGTATCTTTTCTGTATAAGGTTGATTAATTTTCCTTTAGGCAAATGACTGTCATTTTTGTTCAGTGAGTGAGTAGACCATTGACTCATGCTTGTAAAGTTATTCAGTTCTTTTGAACTTGTTATTTAAACCATATAATTTTCTTCTTCGCAGCTTGGACCAATCAGCCTTGTGTTTATAGGAATTATTTCTGTTCACTGTATGCACATATTGGTACGTTGCAGTCACTTTCTATGTCAGAGGTAAATGTGGATTTGTTAAGTCTATTTTATAACTGTGTATTTGTTTAGGGCATTGTATCTTTCTGTTTCTACTTTCTGCAACTATAAGTTGTATTTTCTTTGATAGTGAATATGGGATAGGGACTCAGTAGGACTCGAATGCAGTCAATATGATTAGTCCTCCTTTGGAAGTCTTGAGCTTTTGCTTCCAGGACCTACACAGATACAACAATCATCAAGTGCTCAAGTCCTTCACATAAAGAAGTGTAGTGTTTGTGTGCAACCACTGAGGAGCCTTCTTTCTAATTATCGCTGATTACTCAGAATACCTAATGTAGTATAGGTACTACATGCATGCTTGTTGTGCTGTATTGTTTAAGGCATAATGACATAAAAAATCAGTTGGAATATATTCAATACAGACAGGACATCTTTCCATGTATGTTTCCATATGTGGTCAGTTGAATCTACAAATGAGGGATCTGTAGCCCTGGAGGATAAACTGTACTTAGAAATGCACCTAATTAGTAAATGGGCCTGGGTTCTTTTATTTAGTCTTAAGTGGAAAAAAATCAGAAGAAAATATTAGTAGAGTAAATGGAGTCAATGGTACACTTTTAGTGATAGCCCAGTGTCTTCAATGTATTAGCAGTTTAGTTTTGGGTATAGCATCTTTGGTTCTGTTTACTGATATGTAGGTATGCAGGTAGTCATAAAATGTTTCCTTTGGATAATAAGCCAACTTTTTAAGACAAATAACCTCCTAGTAAACCAGAATTCTACGATAGACTCTTGTTTCATTGCTAAAACTGGATACATCATTTGTGTGTGTGTGTGTGTGTGTGTGTGTGTGTGTGTATACATACTTGCAAAAAGAAGAGTGGGAGAAACTAAGACTGGAGATAACGTTATCTACCTCAGGAAGGTAGTTTGAAAATGAAATGAGATAGTTTATATGGAAATACATTCTAGAGCCCTATAAATATATAGTATTATATACTGTTACTAGAAAAATGTATGCGTGGGGATGGGAAGGAAAAACTGGGAAAGAGCAGGGAAGGAGTGACATTGTCCAAAAAGACATGTACTCATCATCTGACTTAGGTAACTGTAATCACTCTGTACAAATCACCTTATAATAAGAATGAAAAAGAAAAATGTAGTAATTTTGACAAGAACAATATAGTTGATGTTTTTATGTATTTGAGATATTTAAATCATGGAAGCACAGATATTAACTGCTCGTATTTTACACATAGATAAAATGTATCCGTAGGCAAGATAAAAATTTAAATTTTATTAGAGTCTATAGATTTTCACATTTTGAAGTCTTCATGTGTCAGTGTATAGACCTGTGTTCATTAATTCCTGTATATCTGATACTTTTTCCAATAAATGGTTTTACAGACTGTTTTTTTTCTTTCTTATATGTGTTGTCATTAATTGCAGGTTTAAGAAGTCTACTTTAGGCTACAGTGACACGGTGAGTCTCGCCATGGAAGCAAGTCCGTGGAGTTTCCTCCAGAAACAAGCTGCTTGGGGACGGCAAGTACTTGCTCTGCTTTTAATATCTATTTGTTGAGACTTTGTTAATTTTTAAGTATTTTAATCTGATAAGACAAATAAAAGGATGATAAATTGAGAGAATGTAATTAATAACCTGGAACTGGTGTCTCATTCATATACTTAGCTGCTCAGGAGGCTGAGATGCAGAGGATCACAGTTCCAAGCCAATCCTGGCAGAAAAGCCCATGAAATACCATCTCCAAATTTAACCAGCAAAAAGCCTGACTGGAGATAAAGCTCAAGTAGTAGAGCCTAAGCTGAGCATGCAAGCTGAGCAAATGGGAAGCCCTGAGTTCAAAGCCTGTACTTGCAAAAATAAACAAAACAAATTGCATACCCTTAAAATTAGATTGACTTAGGTTCAAATCTCAATTCCGCTAATTGTCTGTTTTATGACCTGTCAAAATGTTCCTTATTTTGGTTTGCATATCTCGTAATGAAATGCACTTGTACTTCATTGAATGATTATAGTAGATTAAAGAAAATAATACTTTAAAAAGTATATACAAGTATATACCTATAATATAATTTATAAAATATTTATTAAATAACAGAATTATGTTCACTCATTTTTTAAAAAAGAAAAAAATGTTGTATTTTCATAAGACAACTGAAGTCTGGATGTTATTTAACATAAACTTAACTTTATTGTCTTTCTCATCATTGAACAAGGTGAATGTAAACTAGATGAACATAGGGATGGAAAAATAAAGAAGCATAAACAAACAATGATGTATGATAAAATTTAAAGAAGAAAAAACACAACGTTAGTGTAGTTTATGCTTAAATCTATGTTTTTTTATTTTCAGAAAGTTATATTTGTTCATAAGTCCATGAGGTTTTCATCATTCCTGATATATTTGAATAGAAGGAAGGAAACAGAACCTAATGCCCTAGGGACTTGCCTCCAGAACCCAAAGTCAATCCCACCCCATCTTTCTTCTGACCCAGACTATAGACAGCTTTTCTGCTGTGAAGAAAAAAGGCTTTCAGAAAAAGTCAACTGTAATTATTATTAATGAGACCCTCACCTGAAATGTGGATAAAAAAGATATTAAGGGAATACTTAAATGTAAGAATCACAGATGAGAAACTGGAATTTAATTCAGGGTACTAAGATTATTTACCAATAATATCCCTGAAGAACTATGGAGGATGGAAGAGTTATGGAAAGAATGAAGATAGTAGGACCTTTTGCTGTCACACGGGAGGAGTGTCTATAAAATGTTAGACATCATTGTTGTCACTGATGGTCAGACAAGAGACTACAGTGCATTACACAGTGGTAGTCATTTCTTGTTTATAGATCAGAACGAGAAATGAATAGCGTGGGCAGATTTCTAATTTGACAACTGCCCTATCTAAATACTGGCCTTTTAATCAAGTGTGTTTTTCATTTATAATTCTAGTGACATACTAAACATAATATGATATTAATAGGAAATAAATCTTTTAACTGTTCTTTTTTCAAGGAAGAAAACAATATATACTGTTATAAAATAGCATATTAATAGTTAAATTACAGTTAAAACGAGAAAAAATATTTTGACACATTGCTACCTTTATTGATACTTACTTGTGTATATCTCTATTTAGGAGTGTGGTTGACTTTTTTCTGGTGATAACGCAGCTGGGATTCTGCAGTGTTTATATTGTCTTCTTAGCTGAAAATGTGAAACAAGTGAGTATTCTTTTATAGTTTGCAAAATCATCTTCCAGGGCCTTACATTCAGTATCATATTTCTTCTCATAAGTAACTTTAGGCAGATTTTCATTTAGTTTTCTTTTGCAACTTGGATTTCTGATATAATTATTTGTGATACTCATATTTGAAATCAAGACCTTGTACTTGCTAGGCAGGCACTGTACCACTGAGATACACCTTTGGACCATTTTTCTTTGCTTCTTTTTGAGAAATGGTCTCCCTTTCTGGTGTATGCATGGACTAAGATTCACCTCTTTTATATTTCCATTAGCTGCAATGAGAGGATTGTATCCCCATACCCAGTTTCTTTCTTTGAGATTCTTGGACTTTGCTGTCTTGGCTCATCCTGGAACCAGCCCTTCTGATATTAGCCTACCACATCACTTAGGATAAGGTGCATGCCATTGAACCAAGCTATGGATTGCCTGGCTTCAAATTATAATCTTTTTTAGCCTCTCAAGTAGTTAGGATTACAGGTGCAAGTCCCCCTCTGCCCAACCCCCAGGCCTGACTATGGTTGGTTTTACTATTTGTGTTATAGTATTCATGATGTATGTCCATTCTTTCAGAAGTTTAGATCTTAAGATTTGGGTATGGGTGTGCATGCTTATAATTCTAGCATTCAAGAGGCTGAGACAGGAAGATTGTGTGTACAAATCTTATGCTACAGAGCAAGACTGTCTCCAAAATCAAAACACAAAAACAAAACAAAAACTTAGATATCAAAAGCATATCCATATATACTTTGGGATCATATTCTTTAGTTTGCTAATATATAGAGACTACAGAAGTAGGAGCTAGCAGCCTAGAAAGGTTAAAAATATGAGCATTCATTACAGAACTGCAGTAATTACTGCCATTGTTTTAAAAGTAATGTATCTAAAAATGTGTATTTTTCCCATGTTAGGGAAGTTTGGTTTGCGAAGTGATTTCCAGATATGTTATAGAGATAGTCTATTTGGACAAACATACAAAGCACCAAAATAAAATACCTGAACAGTACCAAACACATTTCTTGTGATTGGTATTATTATTATTTACCTCCTGATTTTCTTTCATCATCATTCCAGTCAGTAGCATTAATTATCCAAATATATCTGCTGAAATAAGCATTATACATCGTAATCTGTAGAATTGTAGATGTTTAATGCAAAATGATTACACAAATATCCTTTCTGAAGAACTTTTTAAGTATACACTGTTAGGTTTTTAAAGAGAGGTAGCTGAGTAAGAACCACACCACGCACATGGTATTCAGGTAAGGGATAGGTTTATTCATTGTTTCTGCTGGCACCAGGCCATGTTAGCACTCGTGTGGCTGGGAAAGACCTGGGAAAGAGGGCGTCTGGCCCTGGGCTAGGCCTTATCTAGGGTAGGGGCAGGGAAAGATGTGGCCACATGGAATCCAGATGTGACCTTTTCCAGGTGTGCCAGTTGCCTAAGTAACGCAGTACTGGGCGGAGACTTTGCTGCAAGGAGTGTGGAGTCTGTGCACCTTCCAGGAACAGACCTTACATATACCAATATTTATCTGTCTCTTTTCTAAATGCAAAGTTTGCTTCATATTCTATTAAAATGAAGAATTAGCAAATTTTATGCTATAGTATTTTCTCTTTGCACGCTCTATGGTCAGCCATAGACAGTGAAATGTAAACAAGTAAATGTAATGCATTCCAGTGAACATTTTTGGTTGGTTGTGGTTGAACTCTGGGCCTGGGCGCTATCCCTCAGCTCTTCAGCTCAAGGCTAGTGCTATACTACTTTAGCCACAGCGCCACTTCCGGTTTTTTGGTGGGTAATTGGAGATAAGAGTCTCATGGACTTTCCTTCCCTGGACTGGCTTCAAACCATGATCTTTGGATCTCAGCCTCTTGAGTAGCTAGGATTACAGTCATAAGCCACCAGTGCCTAGCTCCAGTGAACTTTCATCTGCAAAAACACATAGTGTCCAGATGTGATCTGACACATTAGTTTGCTAACCCTGGATTTTGACTATCCCTATATATTTGAGCCAAGCTTAGATGTTTAATATTGGAAGCTCATGGAGCTTACAGCAGTTAGAGGATTTTCCTCGAGGGCTGTAGCTAGTAATTACAGTAATTATAGCTTTGATATCCATAGTGGTGTTTCTTCAGTGTATAGTATCACAACATTTGTAAGTTTTATTTCTGTCTGGAAATGGTGCAAATGTGTGCTGTGAAACCTTCCTCAGTTGCTTTTCCATGCCATCCTTTCCTTTATGACTTCCTAGTATGCATTTCTTTTTATTTTCTGGCTTTAAAAAAATAACTGTGATCACACTATATTAAAGTTACATTATAAGTTAATTTTCAGACTGCAAGTCCTCTGAGGAAAAGGACAATTTACAAAACAAACTTTCTGGAAGAAAAAATCTAATCTCAACTAGTCTGTTTCTTTTCATTTAGGTGTTGTTGGAAATATTGTAACTGCAGAAATGTCAAGGACTGGTGAGAGCAAATAGAGAGCTGTAGAAACAGCAGCAGTTAGCAGTCACAGTTCTACCATCAGTTTCAGTGCTCTCCTTAGCATCACTGTTTTACAAATGGTGTGCTTTGGATTTTACAAGTATTTAATTCTATAAGTTGCATAATCCTAGAAATGCTAATCCATTCTGTGACAGTTGATGGTCTACAAATGATAAGATATACTACTTTTGATTTGAATTTATGTTTTTTGCTGGTACCAGGGCCTCCCACTCCCACTCAGCTTTCTTGCTGGGCTGATGCTTCTTGAGACACCTCTCGAGCTCAACATTTTTCTGGTTATTTGGAGATGGAATCCTCTGAGATTTTCTGCCTAGGCTGACCTAGAACCTTGATCTTCCAGATCCCAGGAGTGAGCCAGTGGTGTTCAACAAGACATGCCATATTGGTAGTTATTTGTACAGTAGAAATAGTAAATTCTAGGATTGTGGAAGATGGTAGAAGTCTACTTTTTTAATATCTTCTAATACAGTTATGACTAGCTGTCTTTGAATCTACAAATAATACTAATAATGCCCTATAATTTTATACTTACGAGCTGTGATGAATAGCATTTAATATTTGTAATCTATAGCGTAAGTACACTATTCATTTTGTGAGCACCTTATAAAGCATGAGTCATGTGTCCCAGTGGCATGTGGAACTAGGCTGAAGTCTGGGTCTCTAACATAGTTGCTGCCTGTTATGCATTTATTTATTTACTTACTTAATTTTTAAATAGTGACTTGCTTTGGCCTCCAAATCATGGTCTTTTTCCTGCTTGGTTTATAGTTGTGCTCCACTACAAGTGGCTTTCCACCCACCATTTTAATTATCGTTGAAAGGGATATATCTGATTTGTGTGTGTGTGTGTGTGTGTGTGTGTGTGTGTAAAAACTGGAGAAAAGTTTTGAATGACCTTATACAAAATATCATTTACTTCCAAAGTAGAATGGAAAAGTTTAACTCATTCATACACATACCAGAAGATGAGTAAGAAAAGTTGTAGTAGCCTGTCTCAGGTGTAATAGCCTGTCCTGGTAATCCAAGCTATAGGAAAAATGGAGATGGGAGTTAAGCAGGAGAATAAGTGTGGTGGGTTCTCGTTCTACAGTAGTATCGAAATAACACCAGGAGTGATGAGCACAGTTTAAAGGATTCATTCAATAAAGAGCAAGCAGAGGCACCCTCAGAGAGATGAGCAGCTGGATCCCGATACCTGCTGTCCCACTTCATAGTCCTGTTGCCTCTGTCCCCTCCTTTTTCTTTCCTCCCCTCAAGCACTCTATCAGATTATGACTAGTATGTTTGAAGCAAGCCAGACCTCCAGGGCAGTAGCCATAGGATGGCTAGTTGGCCTGGGCTCATGAGTGGTTTGTTTGAAACAGGCCAGACCTCTTCTGGAGGGTAGCCCAAGAAAGGTGGGTTTGGCCTGAGACACATCAGGCCCCAGGCCCTCCCCTGCATGGTGGTTTGTAGGGGGCTGGCCTCGGTTAGATGAGACCTAAGACCCTCTCCTGGGTGTTAGCCATGGAGGGGGATTCAAGCCCTGGGTAGTGGCTACTGGTGGGGGCGGGGGAAAGCTGTCCAAACCGGTTTGCTGATGTCCTTGAGGAGGATTGAAGTTTGAGGCCAGCTCAGGCAAAAACAATGAGACTGTCTTCAAGGAACAAGCTTTGTATGGTGGTGGATGTCACAAGTATGCAGGAGACAGATGGAGGAGGAGGATGGTTTGAGTGGAATCTGGCAAAAAGAGACCCTCTACAAAAACTAAAATGAAAAGGGCTGGTATAGAGCACTTAAAAATTTAACTATTATTATTAAGGTGATATACAGAGGGGTTACTGTCTCATAAGTCAGTGTCACCCCTTCCTTTGGTGTCTTGCAGTTTCTTCCCCCATCTCATCCACAAGGTTTATAGACAAGTTGTATAGTTCATTTTCAACATAGTGTCTACTGAGTACCAGTGTTACATTTGTTCACCTTTTGTCCCTCCATTTCTGTGCCCTTCCTTCCCTCCTTACACCCCTAAAAGACATAAATGTGGACACAGACAAAAATCAAGAAACAGAAAACCCAAACAAAAACAATTCCATCTTCACCAACAGCACAAGTGATGTAAGTGGTAGAGCACTTTTCTAGCAAGTGTAGGGATCTGAGTTCAAACTGTAGTACTGCAGAAGAAAAAAAAAAGTAAAATTGGCTCTGGAAAGTGAGGAGATTGCCTGTTTTTTGGAAGCCTCAAAGCATCATGGAAAAAGACATGCAGTGAGACTTTAGAAAAAAAAACAAAACATTGAACTTGAAGTTAGCACGTGGTTCAGGAAGTGCAGTCATGGTCAGGGCAGCAGCTGGGGCTGGAGTCTTTGGCTGTGGCTGTCTGTGGCAGCCAGGGCCCAGAGACCTTGGCTTTCAGCAGAGGTGTCTTTTCACAGCAGCACACAGCAACATCCACTGCTTAAGTAAACTATACTACTGCTAGAGTTAAAATTATAGGATTGTTTGCGCCGTAATCTACATGAAGTTAAAGGTGCAGTATTTCATTAATTTAGTGAATTGCGGGTTTGTCAGGAGTGCTTGGTAGCTGCGACATGCTCCTGATGATTCCAGTCCATCCTGGTCCTAGAGTAGCTCCTGTGTCTTATTTTAAGATACTCTGGATAGGCACTGGTGGCTCATGCCTAATTAGCTACTCAATAGACTGAGATCTTGAGGACTGAGTTTTAAAGCCAGCCCTCACAGAAACAGTCATGAAATTCTGTGTCCAGAATATTGGATCAGAAAAAAAGCTGGTGGTGAGGCCTGGGTCAAGTGGTTCAAGAAAATTGTGCAAGCTTGAAACCTTGAATTCAGACTTTGGTACTGGCAAAATAAAAGATTAAAAGATGCTCTGGGAATTTTCACATATGTAAGATAGTGTATCTGAGCCAGGAGGTTGGGAAAGGAATGTTATAGTAAGAGTAATAAGGAAAATTCCTGCTCTCAGATTTGACTCACACCCTTGGTTAAGGCCCTTTGTTGGGTCCAGCAGTCTCATTGTTGGTAAAACAGAAATGATAACAAAATCTCCCTCTGTTTCTCATAACCTTGTTGTGAGACTCAGCAGATAAAAGTTTTGTGAAAAAGCCTTTGTAAAATACAGCACAGTATTCAAATGTAAGGGAGCACAACTTTTATTTAGCTTTACCGAATAACATAATCTGCTTTTAGAATTTTAACCATTAAATTACCAAGACATTGAAAAGTCAATATGTAGTGCATTTTTACTAAATTTAAAGTCTAAATGGAAACAACTGAATTTAGTAATTTTATTTTATAATATTTATTCCAGTGTTTTACATTTTGGTAAACATGTGAGACCATAGGAAGTCCTATTAGAGAGCCATCTCTGTCTCTAGAGGGCACCAAAGGACTCAAATGTTTACCTGATTCTTGCTCTAGGTATGTATCTATGTTTTTGTTTTATTGTATTTTTTAATCAAGAATTTTTATTACTACTATCCTACCAGAGAATGCTAAAGCATTAGCTGTCTATGAAAGAATTAGTTTAAAATTCCTAAGTATGTGGTAACTCAAATATCTCTGTAAAATTGTTTATCTAACTCCCTTCTTTTGCCAAAACTTGCTAGAACTTCACTTTCACCAGAGGTACTACTTGATAAGTAATACTTGGCTCTTAAGTAACTTAGTTACTAGAGAAAATTGAGTCCACAATAGTATGTTTTGTTAAAAGCCAAGTAATATGAATTGACAATTTTGTTTCCATTTCCACTGTAGAAAATAAAACATAATCCAGGTGGCCATGGATTGATGCCTGTAATACTAGCTACTCAGGAGGATGAGTTCAGAAGATCACGATTTTAATCCATTCTGGGCAGAAAAAGTCAAGATTCCATTTGCAGTTAACTAGCATTAACTCCAGTTTACTGGAGGTGTGGCTCAAGTGGTCAAATGCCAGCCATGAGCAAGTTGTATGAGGGCCTAAGTTCAACCTCTGGTACTGGCACACACACAAAAGAAGAAAGTATAACATTTTTATGACCGATTGCAAGACAGTGCTGAGCTACATTTTCTAAATGAGACCTGGTGTAACTTCTTGGTCTGCTAGAGTTTCAAATTGACTCCATAGCTGAATAATGTGGTAGATACTGTCCCTATATCTGAGTTACATCCCCATCATTCCAGTGTACATTCATAGTCACCTTAACCACTGCTTAAAATGGATGATTAAATGTAACACCTCAGTCTTGTTGAACTTTTACTTTGTTGGCCTCTTAATGAGAGAGTGTCACAGTGGAGGCCAGATGAGTGCTTGGTCAGAGCACCTCTCTGGGGTGCAATGTTGGTTATCATGTAGCTGTTCTGAACCTAGATATTATGGGCACTAACTGATATTATGGGCATTTTACATCTCTAAGCCTTAGCTTTCTGAAGTTTAAACTGAAATTAATACTAAATCTATTTCTCAGAGCCATTTGGAGGATTAAATGAGATATATAAAGCATATAGTTGAGTACCTGATACATAGAAAATACTAAAAATGATCAGCTCTTACTATTCGCATTTATTTTGACAAGAATGTATATATCTAGATACATGATAATGTTCAAAGGAGGGTACAGTGTTTGGGGAAAATTGGCATTTTAAATTGTAGTATGCTTTCCCTCCCTGGCCTTTGTTTTAAGATTTTTCTCTAAAGTCTTCTATAATCTAAATTCTATTTTAGTAAGTGGTATTATATGATTAAATTATGTAATTATAATAGTATTTATTTTGAAATCTGAAAATTGGGTTAAAGAAGTGGGTAAGAAGTTAATTATCTTGTAGCTTTTGCTCTAGCAGAAGTTAACTGCTGTGGAACATATGCACTTCCACGTGCTTGACAGTAGTAACTAGTGATGATGATTTATAGACAGTTTTTTACAAATTCTGAAGTTGGCTATGATTTTGCATTTTACTTTGGCTGCTGTACACTTCTGAGAGGAAGTTAGCACCTGAGTCCTACACTGAAGAAGGCAAGCTAGATCAATGGGAAACTCCCAGCTTTGGTGTAGGTCTTTTGTATCTTTGCTGGAATTAGGAGCATAATAGCTAGAAAGCTTCAAAATACATTAATGAATTAATCCTCATAATTTCCTAGTGAACCGTATAAGATAGTTATTTACCTTGGTTATCCTATATACTTGATATATTTCTAGGAAACCTGAGTATTTCGAAAAAATCTAATTATGTTCTTGTAAAACATGTCATAGGAACTTATCATACAGTATATAGATTATGATTCTCTGTCTTTTTTGCATAGATTTCCTCTGTTCATATCTCCTTCTAATCTTGTACAGGTTCATGAAGGATTCCTGGAGAGTAAAGCATTTGTTTTGAATAGTACCAACTCATCCAGCGCCTGTGAGAGAAAAACTGTCGACCTAAGGATATATATGCTTTGCTTTCTTCCATTTATAATTCTTTTGGTCTTCATTCGAGAGCTAAAGAATCTATTTGTGCTCTCATTCCTTGCCAACATTTCTATGGCTGTCAGTCTTGTGATAATCTATCAATATGTTGTTAGGGTAAGTATATTTTTAACTAAATGTCATGTATGAGTAACAGTCATGTATGAAGGTAACAGTGCTGATCTGCAAAAACTGGTGCATTGATGGACCACAGTGACTGAGCAGTGACTTGATTTTCTTTTGAGGGTTATTATTAACTAGAAATGTGTATGAGTAAGCACAGGCTTTGTAGTCAGGTCTGGTTTTATACTCCACCAGATATAAGGATCATTCACAAGGTATATTGAGTGAGTGAGTGAGTGAGTGTGTGTGTGTGTGTGTGTGTGTGTGTGATTTTCTGTTACTTGTAAACTTTGATTTGCTCCCCCAGATTTAGTCCGCTGCCTCTCTGCAGGCAAGTAACTGCATTATCTCAGTGTGTGCAGCACCCTAACTGATTTTATTGTCCACAGTCTGGAGTTTCTTTACCTAACTTCCTTAAAATAATCTCTGGGGAATTCCAAAAATTTCAAAGTTTTTTTAAAAGCATATTTGTAAGATTGTTTCTGTATGTGTTTGTGCATTTTTTTGTATGACTTTCATTTTCCAAAGGGGCCAGTGAGCCTAAAAACATTGAGAACCTTTGTTTGATTCCTTATCCAGTGCTACTTAAGATACTGCTTTCAAGGTAATGTTGGTCAAGTCTCCATTAACAGTTAATTGCAAACTCTTGGTGGGCCAGATTTTATTTTTCCCCTTTGAATTCCCTCATTCTCTCTCACAGTACCTAAGAGGAAAGAGAGACTCACTTAGTTTGGGGTTCATGACCCCTTAGCTGAATATGTAGGACTTAGTGGATCAGGAAAGGCCACTCCCTGGATGAGAGAGCAGAGGAGCCCAGAAATAGCATCCTGCTTGTCTTTAGTCTTAGTTTAGTAATGCCCAGTGTTCTATACCTATAGGGACCTTTCATCATCAGCCTAGGGTGGTTTAGTCATAGTTTACCTTCACAGTGCATAACACACAAGGTACTCCAGGCCTTTCCATTCCCCATATTGCCTTTTTGCTTTTATACTTGAGCTGCTTTGTACATAAGCTTTCCTTAGCCTTGAATTTTACACCTAGTTAGGCTGAGAATACAGGAACATGGGGCACTAGGGACCAGACCTGGATGTCTGAAAGAAGCAGCCTTGGGGAGCCAGTCTTGAAGATGTGCTGTTTGTGAGTGTGTGCAGATTGTACAAGCTGGAACTAAGGCTGTGGGCCAGGGATAAGTAATCAATCAGAGTAAATGTGGTTGAAAACTAAGCACTGAATCCAGAAGATCCCTTGGATCTTCTGAGCAGCAGAGCCAAGGGAGAAAGCCCTTTAGGAAAGAAGTATCTTTGAGAACTGGAAGAGCAGTGACAGGAGGATGCAGACAACTATGGTGGGCAGTAACTGACAGTGTGGCTCTTGGCTCAGACCCAAGCGTGCCCGTACCTTTCCTGTTGTAACAGGAGCCATACCTGGGGTATGCAGCCTGGGGCTGACAGCTGAGAACAGATACTCAGCATTTTCTCTGAGGGAGTGTTGGGGCATGAGGGCAGCAGCTGCTGTGGCCGTGAAACCCTTGCAGCCCAGTCATGTCGAGCACAGGGTGCTTGGCATGTTTATCCAAAGACACACTCACTTGCATAATCCTCAGGATAGTATGGTTTTGCTCTTTCATTTTAAGTGGTTTAAAATAAGTAATAGTGTAAATTTTCTTCCTTTCTGCAGAACATGCCAGATCCCCACAATCTTCCAATAGTGGCTGGTTGGAAAAAATACCCCCTGTTTTTTGGTACTGCTGTATTTGCTTTTGAAGGCATAGGAGTGGTAAGAATTGGCATTTCTTTTTTTTTTTTTTTGTGAACACACTGTACAGAGGGGTTACAATTACATGGACAGGATAATGCGTACATTTCTTATCAAGTATTGCAGCCTCCTCC